AAAAATATATATATATAAATAGGTATATTTATTTAAAGCTAGGGAGTACTGGAAAACTCCTAGTGCTCAAGGACCAGCATGAGGTTCAGGGTGCTGGGCCTGAATGTGTTCTTCTCAGAAGCTGCTGGGTTTTTAGAAATCAGTAATAACAGCAACGATAATTCACCTTAATAACAGCCTGGCCTCCTTGAGCCTCTTTCATCTACATAACTTCCAGTGCTGGGAAAATGGTAATTATGGAGCAGGTGCCACACCCCATTGATGATGTGTTATTAATCCATGAGCACTAGCTGAGAAACTGAGGTCCAGAGAGAAGGATCTTGCCTTGCACAGAAGTAAGAACCTAGGTATGGAAGAGAGCTGTCCAGTGGGGAACCAGAGGTGCTGGCTCTGCCACACCTGCTATTTCGGGAAGATGCTGAAGACAGAGGCACTCATTTCAGATCTGGGTTTGGTGAGAAGGTGAGGAAAACCCCAGACATTTGTCCCAAGTCCCTTCCCCAGGCCCTTGGCAGGAGTTCTTGAGCTCCTGCACCACTTTCCCAGAGTGTGGCAAAGCCGGTCAATGGCCGCCTGAGCATCCTCACCATCTCTATGGTACTCTCAGGCATCACAGGCTAAGCAAGGGCTCAGTCCTTTGAACAGCTCCACACTACAGGCACATTCCATGATGAGGAAGCAGAGAGAACCTGGCAGCTGGGCAGGGGGATCAGATCAAGAGCACATCAAGAAGTGTTCTTTTAGCTTAGTGGCTTCCTTGCATGCCCAAAGTTCTGGGTTCAATCCACAGGACATTAAAAAAAAAAAAAGTGGGAATACTATTCTTGGGATCCCAGCTCATCTTTGTAGCCGCCATTCATCTTTGGCATTGATCCAAAATAATAAGCTCTTTCCTTTAGCAAGGTCTGTCTGGTCACTACCCTAGAAATTTGCAAAAAAAAAAAAAAAAAGCCTAAGGATGGAAAGGTTAGGCAAAAAGTCAATAGACCAAAGCTCTTAGTGATAAAGAAGCAGCAGAATCAAACTGTAGCATAGAAGGAAGTGGCAGAAACCCAAATTAGTTTGGAAGAATAAAGACAGAGGCATTGCATATATAGATGCATCCATAGCCTACTATGTGTCTACTACTGTGGCAGATACTGGAAATTTATCTCAGCTCAAGGACAAATGTTAAGTGCTAAGCCAAGTAGCAAATAATGGCCTTATCCTCTACCCCTTCAGGACAGTGTCTAGGGGAAAATATTACAGGTCTTGTTCTAAGGGATTTAAAGTTTTTTTTTCTTCAGTATGTCAGAAAGCTAACCAGAGTCCCTGAGGGCCCTGGGATAACATTCTGACCCTCTAAGTGCCAGATTCGATAACTAGCCTTCTCTGCTTTAAAATACAACCAGGCTCTCTCATGAATGAAAAATTACAGCAGAATGCAACCATGTAAAACTAGAGGCCAGAGTCAAGAGTCCTACTGACATTCACCACTGCATCATTCACCACCATGTGAATCATTTCCCCCTCTGGACTTCAGTTTCCCCATTTTTAACTTGAGGGCGTTGGACTAGACTGTCTCTAGGATTCCTTCCAGCCTGTGGAAGCTCCACATTGTTTTGATGTGGTGGCAGATCTCAGATTGATTTACATAAATTTGCATGTTCAATCAGAAATCCCAAACTCCAAGTATAGAAAATCCAATCAGTCCATTAGCACAGCCAGACAGGCTAGAGAAGCCTGCCAGTTTCGATTGAGGGTTGTCAAAGCAGACGGTGGTAGTAATGGTGACTTAGGGGTAGAGGGTGGGGGAAGCAAGAGTGGGAAAGGGCATTTGTTCTGAGAAATGCAGCTCTGGGGTTCCAGGACTGATGGGGTTAGGGACCCTGCTCTGGCAATCAGGCAAGGGTCTTTTATCCTTCTGCTCCTAACGGGGCCTCTGCTGGCCAGCCTCAGAGCCACACCCCAAGAAGGAAGATCAGCCTCTGCCTAGCAACAGCTGCATCCTTCACTCTGACAGGGACTCTACCATTAGCCACTTTCTGGGAAACTGACTTCCCTGGGAGCTTCCATTATCCATTTCAAGAGTTCCCAGCAGTGAGGAAGGTTTCCTTGGGGTCTGACCTAAATACCTCCTGCTGCAGCTTCACCCATATATACAGGGGAGAGGGGTTCCCAGGCCCAATAGAGCCAGCAGAGGGAAAAGCAATGCAGGAGAATATGCCTCATATTCAACCAATCTGAAGGCCTCTCTAACTACCACCTCTCCTTCAACATTCCCCTTCACCTGGGAGACCAAAGATGAAAACAAACAAGAACGTAAGGCCTTTTGGCTCTTGAGCTGGAAAGCAAGTCCCAACCTGGAGAGAACCGACTCCTGAGAAAGCCTTACCCACAGGAGACAAGGGGGCTGGGAAAGATGGGGTGGGGGACAGCTTCTTGTTGCTGGAGCTGTTGAGATGGCATGGCAGGGCCTGGGAGGCTGGCTGGACTAGGTGAGGGTAGCAGGGAAAATTCAGCCCCTTGCCTGGGAGCTGGGGTGGTAAGTACACAGAGGTGAAGCAGATAGAGTCAGGGGGTGGGATGGGCAACAGCAGTGGGGCCCTCTTTGCCCTTTTCCCATAAGAGGGTAGATGAGTGTGCTATGCTTCCTGGCCCAGATCCTAAAACAAGTCCCAACAGCTGAGATGCAAACTGTCTCCTGGGAATCTGCTTACCCTGCTGGCCTTTGGCTGCCTCCTCCTCTCAACCCCTCCCCAAAGGTCCAACTCAAAGACTGGCTGAGCCAGATGTCTCATCAGAGGCCTTGATGGGTGGGCCAAACAGGAGTTCATATCCCAAGGCACCAGGGGTGAGCAGAACAATGAGTATTCCTGGGCAGGACAAGGGAGTCTGCTCCTCTCTAACCTTAGTTCTAATCCTAAGCAACTATGACACCTCACACCTTAGCTCTCTAAATGGAACCAGCCTGCCAGAGGACCATTCTCACCTCTAGAGCTGCCTAATAGTATAATCATTCAGTATCAAAAAGGGGATTTTAGAGCTTTCTAGTCCCACTGGCGAATTTAAAAAATGATGGAAACTGAATCCCTGAGAAGGAAATTGTCTTGGAAAGGCCATAGGAAGAGAAGGGCCCAAAGATTCTCTCAGAGAGTATATGTATATGTGTGTCTTCATTTATGTATTTTGTGTGTATTACTGGGGATTGAACCGAGGGGTGCTCTACCAACAAGCTACACCCCTGGCCCTTTTCAGAATTCTTTGGAGACAGGTTCTGAGTTGCCCAAGCTGGCACTAAATTTGTGATCCTCCTGCCTGAGCCTCCTGAATTGCTGGGATTACAGGCATGCACCACGATGGGCCTCTCCATCCATACTGATATCAGCTCAGTCCCCATACACACAGGTTTCCACTTGCCTATCATGAAATACCTTCTCCCCTGCGGCCAAGACATTGGCCTCTCTGGGTTCTCACTCTCCCCTCAAAGGCCTGAGTTGGAGAAAGATGCTGAAGGACCAGAGACACAAATGCACAGACCACAGATCTTAAAAACAAAATTGAACTACTTGGGATTACCCCTTAGACAGGAATATATATGGTTTCTCTGGGGTGAAAAACTCACCAAACCCAGGTTGGTTTTAGGAAAGGGTGGGGGAAAGAATTTGAGAGGTAAATTTTGTGTCTTCCTTCTGGCTAGACAAGGGGTCTCAAGAGAGCCAGCTGACATAATGTCTCTAAGAGAGGGTCTGCAATAAGGCAACTGGGCTACATTCATTTTCCCCCAAAGTAATGATCCCCTCTCTATCTGTTGCCAGACCTCTCCTGCCCCAGGCCTCTGGCTACAACTATTTCCTCTGGCTGACAATTGTGCTTAGGCAGGAGGACCTTAGGGGGGAGGCAGAGAAGTGGTAGGGAGGGAATAGAGGGATTGCCCCTAAAGCCAGGGAACCCCTCAATCTAAGACACCAGTAGCAGCTGGGCAGATTGGGTGGGCTTGGCTGATACAGGTCTGAGCAGCCTGGAAAACCAGGCCTATGAGAGGTGAGGGCCCTCTATGCCCTTGGGGCAATGCCAAGGCTGGAGAAACGTAGGGGGTTCAGCCCAGGATAAGAAGAAGGTAGACAGGGTGATGGCCAGCCACTTTCTTGGGCTCTATGCTAACTAGACCAGGGGAACGGGAGACACAGATTCTCTGCATTCTTTTGACACCGCAACCAGGACCCTGAGAGCCTTTTCTGCGGGGACTGCCCGGTCCCTATCCTGGCCCAACCCTTCACCCTCCCTCAGCTTTTCTTCTGTTTGCTGCCCGCCAGGATCCCTCCTCCTTCCCGCAGCCCCTTAAGCTTCGGAAGGGCTGTTCCGGGACACCAGGTCTCTCCGTCTTTCCCCGCCTCCCCCACGCCCTACCGCCCCAGGCTGTGGGGACTGGAAGAAGTGCGAAGAGGAGCCCCAGGCTCGTCTCCGCGCCTGCGCTTTGGGGAGACCCCCCCCCCCCAAACAACCTGGCACCGCTAAGCAGCACCCGGACCTTGGGACCCGGGTTGGTTAGAGTACGCAGCTGGGGCAAGGTCAGTGCTTTCGAAGCGGGAGGGAGGCAGGCCACCGGAACATCCCCCACTCCCGAAAGTTTCCCTTCCGGGGCCACGGAGTGTGCGCGAGGATGGCGCAGGGGGCAGGAGGGGGTGGGGTGGGGGTGGACAGAGTCGCAGCCAGACCCCCTGGGGAGAGTGCAGCGCGAGGGAGGGGCACACTGCAAGGTACGCGCAGGAAGCCGTGACGCCCTCTCCGACCCATAACTGCCACGAGAGCTTTACCCTCCACACTCCCCAGCCCCCTGCCCAGTGCTTACAGACTCTCCCACCTTGCCGCCCTTTGAATCCCAAGTAGGCCCGGAACTCACCGAAATCAGGTGTTGGGCTGGACCAGGGCAGGCCGGACCCGCTGGGTCCATGGCCGCAGCTCGGGGGCGGGGGGCAGAGAAAGGGGGGTGCCGGAGCCGCCTCCTGATGTCAAGGCTTTAAAGGGGCCAGCGAACCCCGCCCCTTGCCTAGACTCCGCCTCCCTCGTCCTGCGCAGCCAATCCGCGTTCATCATGGATGTGCACCCCTCCCACCTCCTCCAGATGTTCCCAGGACAAGAGCTAAGTCTGCCCGGCCGGCGCGCGCCGCTTCCGCTCGGGTGGGGAGGGCCTCCCCTCCCCCTATGGAGAAACACTCTCGTCAGGCCTTCCTTGGCCTGTTACACACCTTCCCAGCGTCGCCATCGTGAACCCCGGGCTGTGCCGAGCAGGGTAGAATGGGGCCGTCTGCAGAGAGAAAACTTAAGTAGGTACGCGCGAGCCCACGGGCTTGCGCGTCGGTTTTCGTGGGGCTGGGCGTGCACGTGTGTATGTGGTTGTGAACGTTGGTGTTTGCAATTTTGCCTTCCTACATACGTGTTGGGTGTAAATTCAGGGGAAGAGTCTTGAGTTCTTCCTTGGCCTTAAGTGCGAAGTGCCTCTCTCTTCGTCCTCGAGGATCGGATCTTCCCAGTGGTCTGGAAAACTGGGCACTTAGGAAATGGCTCTGCTTGTGGGTGAACAGCGCTGTCCGTTTCCTTTTTTTAAAAAATATTTATTTATTTATTTTAGTTTTCGGCGGACACAACATCTTTGTTTGTATGTGGTGCTGAGGATCGAACCCGGGCCGCACGCATGCCAGGCGAGCGTGCTACCGCTTGAGCCACATCCCCAGCCTTGTCCGTTTCCTTACTAGCTTAAGAGCAGGCAAAGTGCACAAAAAGAATACATCCTTGTTTGGGGTCACTTACTCTATTGGGGAGGGGCAGGGGCACCAGTTTGAACCACCTGCTTAAAGAGGAAATAGGTCAAACAGTACACCAGGCCAATATAGAGGCTTAGAGCTCCCTTCATTGCTGTTCTTATAGGTCCTTGATTAAACATAATTGTCTGGATAGTTTATAATCCTCACAAGCCCACATCTGGGCACTAGCCAGGATATTCAGATTCTAAATTGCGTTCTGCAGGGAAATAGAAAGGTATTACTAGACATTGTTTGCTTATTGCTTTTGTTGCAAATATATGTGACTTTAAAGTATCATATTAGTCCAATAAAGGAACATAATAACTGAGGGAACATAGAGTTCCCAAGTTGGCTAGGATTAATTAAGAGCTCCTTTCTGAAAGAGACTTCTTATTTAAAATGGAATTTGAAGGACAGAGGGAACTTGAGTGGGATCTAGGCAGGGTAATGACAGGAGGAGACTCTGATAGGAAAGAGCATATTATCTGGATGAGACCGTGAGCAGATTACCTTGGTGGGAAAAGGGAGAAGTTAATTCCCCAGATTTTCCATGGAGATTAAGAATGAAGTTGATAAAGAAGTCATTTTTGGATTCTGGAGCATAGGACTAACTTGATGAAGAGAGTATCTGAGGACAGTTACGGATGGAGGTCATGGTGATTATCCTCACAAATTCTCTCAGCTTCTTAACATTTTTTTTGTATTGATTTATCTTAACATGCAATAAAATGCAGAGATCTTAGATGTTGTTTAGTGAATTTCAACAATAATATAACCTATGTAATCAACACCCAAAACAAGATACTGAACCATCTCAGAAAGTTCTCTTGTGTTTACAGTTGATCACCCTGTGCCTACCACCATCCTCCGTGACAACTTTGAATTTCATTACCATAGTTTGTCTGTTCTCTTTCACATAAGTGGAAACTTAGAGTAGTAAGTTATTTAGCTTAGTAATGTTTTTGAAAAACATCTGCACGTACCCATAGTCTATTCTTTTTAGTTACTAATATTCCATTGTATGAATATATCACAACTCATATTTTCCATTCTCTGGTTGATGGATATTTGGGTGCTTCCAGACTATTATGAATAAGACTGCTGTAGAAATTCTAGTACACATCTTTCTATGAACATGTTTTCATTTATTTTTCACCTTATTTCATCAGACCTTGGGATTGGAAGTGGAAGGAAGCGGAGAGCTAGGCTAAGACTTTTGGATAATTTGTAGATGGTAGGGCTACTCACTGAAATCAAAAGTGCTGTTTATAGATAATGGTATCTTTGGAACACTACAACATTGATCAATTCCTATTCAGTCATCCAACTTATTGAATAGGGATCAGTTGGCTAGTCCTGGGATTATAAGAAAAATTAGACATGGCCCTTTCCTCAAAAGGCCTAAAATCTCCATCTAACTCTATTTGCATGTTAAGCCTTGGGATGGAAAACCATGAAAGTCTGCCACACGTTTCTAATTATCATTGAATGTTTGCAAATAACGGAATATTTGGAAGCAAGTAGAACATCTAGATGATTTCCTATTTTTCATTCAGATGTTTGCCCTTGTTGAGTAAACAGATAAAATCTGTATTGTCAGAGCAAGTATCTGCCCTCCTTAAAGACACTAACACTTGATAGATTAGGCATTTAGATTTTGGCAGATTTTCTATGCTTCACAACCTTCATCTTCAGTTTCAGGAGAAAGAAATGTAGCTACCATTGCTCTGTGGTGTTCCTTTTCTGTTTTTGATGAGGCTTAAGACACTTTCATTCTTAGTGTTGTTATTCACTTAAATTATTAAAAAATTAGGAGTCCCAAATTTGGTTCTCCACCCATGTTATATATCACTAATCATATATTGTCCCTTCCTTATTAAAATGACCCCCTCACTGCTCATGACAGTACTTTGAATAGGATTTCCTACTTCAGTATTATATGGTCATTCCTTTAGTGTTGGGGCATTTCTACTCCTCAGTAGAAATGACATTATAGCAATGTAACAGTGGTTGCACGGGTTGATAAGCTGACCCAAGTTTAGAAATCATGGCATCAAAAGACAGTCAAGTTAGTAACTGTTTCTCAAAACATTTTAAACTGGCTATTCACCAAGTTGGATTGACTTATGGGCACAATTTTGATGGATTTCTTGCTCAGTAAGAGGAAGGAAGGAGCTAGTTAATGTTTGGTTCTTTTGCCAAAGGAATAGATTGTTGCTAGCACTTCTTAATTCTACATGGAACAGTCATGTTCCTTGGATTCTGAAAGTATTGTCAATATGTGCTTTAAAACCTCTTACCTGGTATAGATATGATGGATCTGCCTCGATCCTTGAATGCTTTTCATTTTTTATCCTTCAAAAAACAACTGAGCCAAGCACAGTGGTGCACACCTGTGTTCCCAGTGACTTGAGAGGCTGAAACAGGAGTATCACAAGTTCAAAGCCAGCCTCAGCAATGGCAAGGTGCTAAGCAACTCAGTGAGAACCTGTCTCTAAATAAAGTACAAAATAGGGCTGGGGATGTGGCTCAGTGTTTGGGTGTCGCTGCGTTCAATCCCCGGTACCCCCCAAGAAAAAACCTCCCCCAAACAATTAAGCCTTTATGCCAGCCACTGTGCATATTGTATTAGGTAAGTAATGTGGATAGGATATGCAGCGAGATTGGAAAGGTAAGCAATATGAATCATCCTAAGGGCAATGCAGAACCTTTAGAGTGACTTAAACAGTGGGATGGCATAATCAGATTTGCATTTTGGAGAGATCACTGTGGTTACAGTGTAGAGAACAGGGAGCAAAATTGAAGCCAGGGATACCAGAGAGAAAGGTTTTATAGAAACTGAGGAGAAATGTGAGAAATGATGTGGTCTGGACTAGGAAAGTGATAGAGGTGATGGATAGATGACTTCAAGAAATAAATAGGCTGAGTGAAGGCTGAGGCAGGAAGATCACAAGCTCAAGGCTAACCTCAGCAATTTAGCAAGACCCTATCCCAAAATAAAATAAGGACTGGGGCAAAGCACCTGGGTTCAACTCCTAATACCAGAGGTTAAAGATGAAGAAAGAAATAATAGCAGAATCATCAGACCTTGGGATTGGAAGTGGAAGGAAGCGGAGAGCTAGGCTAAGACCTTTGGATAATTTGTAGATGGTAGGGCTACTCACTGAAATCAAAAGTGCTGGAGAAAGAGGTGGTTTTGGAAATGGTATGCTTATTTCCAAACATGTTGACTTTGAAATGCCTAGAGGACATCCAAGTAGAAATGTCTATCCAAGAGATCAACTTCCCAACTATTATGCCTCAAAAAGAGTTTACAGATGTGCTGCATTTTGCTCTCACTTCTTAGGGCAGTGCAAGCTCCCTGAGACAAAGCAATCTTAATTGTGTTGGACTGCATCATCCAGCATAGAAAATGCCATCATTTTCTATGTGTGCCATGATGTGGAAAAGGTTGGAAAACAATGATGTAAGCAGCTTGATAAATAATTTTGAAGCTCAAGAGAGGGATCTAGACCAAAGGTATTTGTGAGTCATCAAAACATTGGAAGTAACTGAAGCCATGGAGTGGAAGAGATCATGCAGGAAGAGGGGCTGGAACAGAACCCCAAAGAACACCATTAGAGGGGCTGGGGTTGTGGCTCAGTGGTAGAACACTTACCTAGCATGTGTGAGGCACTGGGTTCCATCCCTGGCACCACATAAAAATAAAAACAAATAAATAAAGGTATTGTGTCCCTCTACTACTAAAAAATATCTTAAAAAAAAAGAAAAGAGAACACCATTAGAGAGGGATCTCCAGAGAAGAAAGAAAAATGGATGAATACTGTCACTGGAGCCTAAGAAAGAAGTTTCCAAAAAAAGACCAAATATAGTTTCCAGGGTTGTTGAGGTCAAGGACAGTTTGATCAGGACAGAGAATGTTCCTATAGACTTTTGCACATCATTAGAGAGTGGCAAAAACAGATTTTGAAGTGACAAGAAACATGTAAGGAACACAGACAGGAAGTGCTGAAAACTCTTCCAAAAATTTTGGCTATGCTATGAAGGGAAAATTAGGCAGAGATACAGGTGGGGCAGTAGGGGAGAAGTGTTTTAGGCCATGCTTGGAGGCACATGCCTGTAACTTCAGTGATTTGGGAGGCTGAGACAAGAGGACTGTAAGTTTGGGTACAGCCTGGGCAATTTAGTGTGACTGTTGTCTGAAAATAAAAAAATAAAAGTGCTGGGGATAATATTGCTCTTAGATTTAATGTCCACTAACATATGCACATATACACACAATTATTATTATTTTTTTTAAAGAGATAGTGAGAGGGAGAGAGAGAATTTTTAATATTTATTTTTTAGTTCTCGGCAGACACAACATCTTTGTTTTGTATGTGGTGCTGAGGATCGAACCCGGGCCGCACGCATGCCAGGCGAGCGCGCTACCGCTTGAGCCACATCCCCAGCCCAACACAATTATTTTAGAAAGATATTTTTAATGAAAGACATGCTTAATTAAATTTTGAAAAATATGTGAAATTAGTTTTAAAAAAAAAATTTTTTTTAGCTGTAGTTGGACACAATACTTTATTTATTTTTTTGTGATGCTAAGGATTGAACCCAGGGCCTCATATGTGCTAGGCGAGTGTTCTACCACTAAAGCCACAACCCCAGTCTGTTGTGAAATTAGTTTTTTTTTAATAAGTAATAAGTGCATATGGATTAAAAAAATCAACATAGGAGCAATTATTTGCTGCATTTCCCAGCGCCAGCTATGAGCCATGTTGGTTGATTCTTCTATATGACCAAAGATACTTATACTATTTTCTTTTTTTTTTTTTTTTTTTTTTAGAGTGGAAAATAGAAGTTTATTAAAGGACAGCAGAAAAGACTTCTCCTGGAGGAAGAAGGGGACCCAAGAAGTGGAATCCATGGAAGTGTGTCCCGTCCGGCAGGACACATCAACGTGGGCAGCGAACCTAGATGGGGAGGAATGAAGGGACAAGAGACACGAAAGGAGACAGCAAGACAGGTGTCTGATCAAGCTGCCACTTATACTATTTTCTTTTTGTCATATAATTATCTTCTATGTGTGAATTCTTTTCAAAAGGTACGAAGCAAGATCTTATCATTCACATTAGTTTGCATCCTTACACTTAAATTATCTTGGAGACCTTTCTATATTAGCATATATAATTCTATTTTCTTCTTTTAAACAATTACATAATAATCCATTTACAGCTGTCCCACATTGTTTGTTTCCTGCTTATGGGCATTTACTTTGTTTTCAGCTGTTTGCTTTTTTTTTTTTTTTAATACTTATTTTTTAGATGTAGCTGGACACAATATCTTTACTTTTTTATTTTTATGTGGTGCTGAGGATCGAACCCAGGGCCTCACACACACTAGACAAGCACTGTACCTTTGAGCCACAACCTCAGCCCCTCAGCTGTTTATGTTTATCAACTAAATGTAATGAATTAACATTGCATACATATTCTTGCATAATTATATATATGAACATATTGGCAGGATAAATTCCTAACAGTGGAATTCCTGGGTGTATGGAGTATACGTACTTTTAAAAAACAATTTTTTTTTTTTTTTAGTTGTAGATGGACACAATACCTTCATGTATTTTTATGTGGTGCTGAGAATCAAACCCAGTGCCTCAGACATTAGGCAAGCGCTCTACCACTAAGCTACAACCCCAGCCCTGTACGTTTTGGTAAATACTGACAAATTGCCTTCCGAAATGGTCTTGCTAATTTACATTTCCACAAACAGTGTAAAATATAATATCACAAACTCACCATTACTGGTTTAAGTTTGTGATATTATATTAATCTTAAGTAATGAAACATTCTTTTTTTTAAGAGAGAGAGAGAGAGAATTTTTTTTTAATATTTATTTTTCAGTTTTTGGTGGACACAACATCTTTATTTTATTTTATGTAGTGCTGAGGATCGAACCCAGCACCCTGCACATGCCAGGCGAGCGTGTTACCACTTGAGCCTCATCCCCAGCCCATGAAACATTCTTTTGTTTTCATTTGAATATAAACTGACATGATTAAACAAGTTTTCAGGTACTTATCTGCCATTGTTTTCTGTGAATCTTTTTTCTGATAAATTTATGAATTACTTGTATTATAATGAAATTAGCCCTTTTTCACATACATTGCAGATAGTTTTCCTATTGGTAGTTTGTTATGCAACTTTATTGTATTTTCTTTTTTGACTTAATCAAATTTATTGATATTTTCCTTTACAGCTTTTTTTTTAAGTACTCCAATTTTTAAAACTGATTTTATTTCCTGGTATGTTTATGGTTTTTTCTTTATGTATAAATAAATATTCCATCTAGAACCTAGTTAAGCAGCAAAGATCACTCTTACTGGATAAAAGAATTACATCCTTTCTGCACCAGCCAATCCTTTCTATTCTGAATGTGCAAATACCCATGCCTATGTGCTCTTTCCAAAAGATCTTTTTCTCCAGGCTCACAGGAAATGCTTTTTTTCCCCTCTTGTCCATCATTCTAGAAGCTATATTCCTTTTAGAGACAGCTCAAGTTCCACATCTGCTAGAAAGTTTTCCATGCCCACAGACTTTTCCATTTCTAAAGCTCATATGATCAAATATTACCTTCTATGAGCCTCTCCTTTATTCAATTTTTAGTTTTTTTTTTTTTTAGTTGTAGATGAACACAACACCTTCATTTTGTTTATTTTTGTGTGGTGCCAGGGATTGAACCCAGTGCTAATGCATGCTAGGCAAGCGCTCCACCACTGAACCACAACCCTGGCCCTCCTTTTCTCAATTTTACACCTACTTTCTGAGTGAATGGAATCTAACCTTCAGATATTTAGGGTTGTTTTATCTAATTCCCTCCTTACCCTTAGAGCAGCTAAAAACATGCTGAATATATGGAAAGAATTAAATAGTACTTCTTTTTTTTTTTAAGTTGTAGATGGACACAATACCTTTATTTATTTATTTTTAATATCTGGTTTTTTTTAGTTGTAGTTGGACACAATACCTTTACTTATTTTTATGTGGTGCTGAAGATCAAACCCAGGGCCTTGCACGTGCTAGGCAAGCACTCTACCGCTGAGCCCCAGCCCCAGCACCTACCTTTATTTTATTTATTCATTTTTATGTGGGGCTGAGGATTGAACTCAGTGCCTCATGCGTGCTAGGCAAGCACTCTACCGGTGAGCTACAGCCCCAGCCCTAAACAGTACTTCTTGATTTGCCATGACAGTGTATGTAAAACTGAAGATGGAGTTGGTCCAAGTTGAGATGAAATGGAAGTATAAAATGCATACCAGGCTTTGAAGACTTAGTATGTAAAAGTATCTCATTTTTATAGAGACTGTATGGCAAAATTATAACATTTTGGAGATGATCAGATTCTATAAAATATATTTTTTTAAATGTTAAAAGTATGAGCTAGATGTGGTGGTACATGCCTGTAATCCCAGCAACTTGGGAGGCAGGCAAGGCCAGCTAAGGCCAGCCTCAACAACTTAGCGAGAACCTGTCTCAAAATAAAATGGACTGGGGATGTAGCCTGTGGTAAAAGGTTAAAGTATATCTCTATTTAGTGTAAATAAAAGGTTAAAGTATATTCTCTATTTCAGTATGGTCCAGAGAGGTGGTACGCGCCTTTAATCCCAGCAACTCAGGAGGCTAAGGCAGGAGGATCAGAAATTTGAGGCTAGCCTGGGTAATTTAGTGAGACTCTGTCTCTAATAAAGATATAAAGGACTATGGATGTAGCTTGGTGGTACAACATCACTGGGTTTAATCCCCAGTAACATTAACACACACACAGCTCATTCTTCTTCTTTTTTTTTTGGTCCCAGGGATTGAACTCAGGGGCACTAGATCACTGAGCCTCATCCCCAGCCCTATTTTGTATTTTATTTAGAGGGGTCTCACTGAGTTGCTTAGTGCCTTGCTTTTGCTGAGGCTGGCTTTGAATTCATGATCCTCCTGCCTCAGCCTCTCAAGCCGCTGGGATTACAGTGGCTCATTATTCTTGGTGCTGACTCCTAAATTAAGGTGATTTGAAGATAAGATGATCTTTTCTGGGGCCAAAGATATTCTGACCTCAAGGTCTGTCAGACCATTATGCAATCATTATCTTCTTGGTACCAGGGCCTCATCTTTATGAGTGCTAATTACATATTTTATTTTACACTAACTGCCACAGACTTGAAATACAATGGTCCCTCTCAATAGGTCAGGTAACCGCTTGGCCAATAAAATGTTACTAGGAGGGGCTGGGATTGTGGCTCAGCGGTAGAGTGCTCCCCTAGCACAGGCGGGACCCGGGTTCCATTCTCAGCACCACATAAAAATAAAGGCATTGTATTGTGTCCATAAATATTTTTTAAAAAAATGTTACTAGGAAACAAGTCAGGTTCAGATACTGAAACATTTCTCAAAGCTTTCTGTGGTCTGAAATGTTCTGTTAACAATGTAGACATATTCTTTGCATATCCATTTAGTCACTGGGGCTATCAAGCTGTTTGGAACAGTTGCCACTTGGCCTTGTAAGCTAATCTCATTTAGTTGGAACCCCTGTGTTACTTTTTACTGCTACAACAGATCATCACAAACTTAGTGGTTTAAAACAACGAATTTATTCTTATAGTCTGGAAAGCCAAAAATCTAAAAATCAAAATTTTCGCATTCCTTTTGGAGGCTCCAGGGAAGAATTTATTTCTTTGCTTTGTCTAACTTCTGGAAACTGCCTTCATTCTTTGGTTTACAGGCAGGCCTTCCTTTCATCACTCTAACCTCTTGTTTCTGTCATCACATCTTCTACTGTGGTCTAATCACATCTGCAAAGTCCCTTTTGCTATCTCAGTTAACCTCAACTTTTTGGTTTGTTTTTATTGGTACCGGGAATCAAAACCAGGGGCACTTTACCACTGAGCCACATCCCCAATCCTTTTTATTTATGTTTGAGACATGTTAAAGTTGCTGAGGCTGGCCTGGAACTTAAATCCTCCTATATCAGCTTCCTGAGTCACTATGACTACACTGCACACAGCGTGGATAACATTTGTAGTTTCCAAGAAATGGTATTGGATATCTTAGGGGTCTGTTATTTAGCCTATCTCTGCCCCATATACATTTCTTTGCACTGCCTTGGTGAAGGGTGATAGGAGAGAGCCACCTTGCAGAAATGCAAGGTTTCCAAGTATTCTTAAATTAAGATCTATAAAGAATAGGTAAACTCAGCCCTATAAAAACTGGTCTTATTATTTCATATATATATATATATGGGATATTAGCTCCATATCCCTTCCTCCCAACACTGCTTCATTTGAAATGCTCTATAGTAGTGCTGGGTGAGGCGATGCACACCTGTAATCCCAGTGAGTTGGGAGGCTGAAGAGGCAGGATGATCCCAAGTTCAATACCCTCAGCAATTTAGGCCCAAAGCAACTTAGCAAGACCCTGTATCAAAATAAAATTAAAAAATAAAAACAAAGGCCTGGTATGTGGCTCAAGGGTTAAGTGACCCTGGGTTCAATCTTTCGTCTGCCCCCCACCCCCAAAAAAAGGAAGAAAAAAAGCAGCTCTGTAGTGCTAAAGCTGAACTCCTTATTACTGCATCCTGAAAAACTAATTATTAGACATAGTAAGATGTGAGTTTTCTATGATGATTTTTTCACATAAGCCTTTGATCCACCAGGTATAATTGTAGTCTGCACCATGCTTACAGTGTCATGAGAAGGCAATAGCACTATATTTTTTTGCTTAATGCTGTATCCTACAAAATACCTTCACATTGTTTAGCTTACTTAGGCACAGGAAAAGGGTTGTTTATTTATTTTATTTTTTTATTGTTGTTTTGGTATCAGGGATTGAACCCAGGTGTGCCTAACCACTGAGTCCCAGACCTTTTTTATATTTTGAGACAGGGTCTCACGAAGTTGCCAAGACTGGCTTTGAATCTGTAATTTTCTGCCTCAGCCTCCCAAGCTGCTGGATTACAGGCATGTACCACTGTGCTGGCTAGGTGTTATTTCAGTTGTACAGATGAGTAAACTATGGCTGCAAAGCAGAGAATGGACTAGAAGGTAGGTGACTTAACATAGAAACCCCTGGTAGGCATCATCCACATGGATGGAATGAATGAAATTTACTTGTTATTTGTAGAATTGACTGGATTTCCCAGCTGCTTCCCAGGCTGAGGCAGGAGGATTGAAAGTTTGATGACAGCCTCAGCCAGCCCTATCTCAAAATAAAAAATAAAAAGGACTGTGGATGTAGTTCAGTGGTAGAGTGCCCGAGTTTCAATCATCAGTACCAAAACAAAAAAGAATAGGATGGACATCATGATTATTTCAGCATGGGGATATAAATGAGCCAAGAGTCAACTGAGGTTTCTGATTTGAGCAGTGGATGCCACAAATTGTGATAGGATTAGGTTTGGAGAGAGGGTAGATAATGAGTTTGCTTTTGGGATATGTTGAATTTTAAGATGTCTTAAGGATTTATTTAGGGGGATCATGATTTTAAGACAGGAAAAATATTAGTCTGAAACTGTGGGGTAGGACTACCAGTATATTCAGGGATTGTTAATGTTGGTAGTTGTTAAAAGCATGAGAGTAGAAGAAATCACCTATGGAAAAATATGTAGAAGGCTGGATGGAACACTAAAAAACCCTATATTCAGTGTTGTCCACTGCTTGTATCATAATCATCTGAGGGGGCTGGGGCTGTAGCTCAGTTGCAGAGCACTTGCTATCATGTGTGAGGCACTGGGTTTGATCCTCAGCACCACATAAAAATAAATAAATAAAAATAAAAAAAAAAATCACCCAAGGAGCCTGTTAAAAACAGAATCCTTCAGGGTGCAGTGGCATATACCTGTAATCTTAGTAACTTGGGCTAGGCAGGATGATTGTAAGTTCAACACCAGCCTCAGCAACTTAGAGACCATGTCTCAAAATAAAAATAAAGACTGGGAATGTTGCTCAGTTGTAGAGCATATCCAAGTTCAATCCCCAGTACTCCAAATAGCAAAACAAAACAAAAACAAAAACAACTAGAATCTACACTGTGAATATGCTGAATGTCACATTAATTATACACTTAAAAATTGGTCAGCACGGTAAATTTTGTTATATGTATATGTAGTTTACCACAATAAAAGAATACAACAAAATAGAACATCTAAGTCCTATTCCAGACCTGAACCAGTATCTCTGGGTTCATAATTTAAACCTGTTAAGCATCTTGAAATTCTAGTTAATGTATCTTTCCTAGTATCTATAATTGCTGTGCCAAGCCTGGGCATGTTAGAGACTTGAACTGCCAAAGAAAGATAAAATACATTCCCTACTGACCACTTCCTTTAGTCCGGTCAGTGGCTCTTCATTACAGATTGCATTGTGAGGTTTTGCCCAAAGGAAGGCCTAATTAAAAACACCTAAAAAAAATTTTTTTTTTTTTGGTACCTGGGATTGAAATCAGGACTGCTTTACTACTGAGAGACATTCCCAGTCCTTATTATTTTTTTGAGACAATCCTCCTCTGTTTCCTGTGTCATTGAGATTGCAGGCTTATTCCAGCAATCATGATAGGCTTTTTTTTTTTTTTGATGGGGTACCGGGGATTGAACTCAGGGGCATTCAACCACTGAGCCACATCCCCATCCCTATTTTGTATTTTATTTAGAGACAGGGTCTCATTGAGTTGTTTAGCTCCTGGCTTTTTGCTGAGGCTGGCTTTGAACTCGTGATCCTCCTGCCTCAGACTCCTGAGCCACTGGGATTACAGGCATGTGCCACCGCACCCGGCTAAGCCTGGTCTAATTTTTAATGACCTTTAAGAGTTGGGGATATGGATCAGTGCTAGAGCATTTGTCTACCATGCACAGGCCCTGGTTTTGATCACCAGTACCACAAACAGAAACCTAGGAATAGTCTATTCCACATCCTACAACTAAGGATCATATTCTTCATTTAGATACCCTTGCTCACTGATCTTTGGATTCATTCTCCTCAGGGATTATCCCAAATAATGGGGAACAGACATTCTTTCAGTTGCATGCTTTGGACATTTTGCCAAAAGCTTCTGCTAGGTTTTCAGGCTGCCTCACTGTTCCAGGACAGTGAGCATAATTCTCAGTTAAAAGCCTTTTCGGTATCTTTTACTGCCTTCCCATCTTACTGCCTCCAGAATCTTAATCTGTTCCTTTCTTTTTCTTCTATCAGTGATTCAGGGATCAGATGCCCTGAAGAGTAGAAGGCTTCGGTCCCAACTAGTGTTGCCAAAGCAGCATACTAATTCCATGCCATGGTCCTGGGTCAAGATCTGCACAATCTGATTGGCCATATCACCTCGGATGGCAAGGGAATGGAAGTGATCAAAATCATGGAGTCCCAGCTTTCGGAGACGCCTTGCAGCTGCTCGGTAACACTTCCAAGGCTGTGGCTCCACAAGGAGGTAGCGGCAGAGGGAGGAAAGATGGGCCAGGAACTCCCACAGGCCATGGTCCCCATGGTTAAGATGAATCCACATGGTTATTGACATACAGAAGCCAATGTCAAAAACTGAACGTCCAAATTGACTTAAGAAGGAGCTCAAGAGAACCTTCCGGGTCCTTTGATTCATGAAGTCCAGGGTGATAAAATTCAAGCCATCAGGAAAAGGACATTCTTTTTTAGCTCGCTCCACCAGGACTGGATCTATGTCACAGCATAGGAGACGGAGTTCTCTGGGGGCATCTGAGCAGTTCTCCCCATCATGTAAGGAAAGGAAGTGTTTGTATAGAGCCACACTCAGATCCTAGAGGAATCCAAAAGAGTCATTGCAGTATTCAACATTGAATGGAAGACAAATCTCTCATCCTCTAAGACTGCCATACTTACTTCTGGCTTTATAGGATGTGAGCCTCCTAATTATAACCTACAGAGGTTGTAGTTTTTCTTGAGCAGACTCTCAGCACCCTCCAGGGGTCATAGACTGTAAATGCACTATCCCTATATTTTCTTGATAACTGCTGGTTGGGTTGTATGGTTCAAAGTGATAGTTCAATGATACTGCAAAGGAGCCTAGAGCAATAAATAATATGCTGGTAAACACATCTTTAAATATATATATATTGTTTATGGTCCTTTATTTTTTATTTTATATGTGGTGCTGAGAATTGAACCCAGTGCTTCACACATGCTAGGCAAGGGCTCTACCACTGAGCCAGAACCCCAGCCCTAAACTCATCTTTTTTTGGGTATCTCAGACCCAAGTGAAAAGGAAAGGGGTCCAGGAGCGTAACCAGTGTTCCTTACCTAGAGCAAGCACCATCTTATTAAAACCTGTTTCTCAGAATAGAAACCTGTGGTTGGAAAAGGTCTGGATTCCAAAAATCCTCATTTAGCCTTCATTCTACATCTTTTAGTTTACATACTGTTTTATACTTCATCAACTCCTTCTGAGACTTATTCTGCTTCTGCAGCCATCATTCCCAAAATACACTAATGATCTACTTCTAGCCAAATCCAACTATTTATGATTTTCACTACCTTAGGAACTTTTTGACTCTTAAAGTCACTCTCTCCTTTTGCTAACTTTGATTTCTATAATCATTATAATCAACTCTAATTTGTGTTTTTCTATATAATTTTTTACATTTGGTTCCTTCCTAATGTATCACGATTCTTAAAGCTTCTTTTTCTTCCCAATACTGGGAATTGAACAAGGGGCGTTCTACCACGAGGTAAATTCCCTGCCCCATTTATTTTTCATTTTGAGATGGCTGGCCTCCAACTTGCTATTATCCTGCCTCAGCCTCCTGAATAGCTGGGATTACAGGTGTGTGCTACCCTGCCTGACTTGTCCTCTCAAACTTTAATGGACATATAAATCACTAATATATAAAATATACATGCTGACTTAGTAGATCTGGGGTGAGGGCTGAGATTTGTTTGTATATATTTATTTTTTGCGATGCTGGGAATCGAACCCAGGGCTTCACACATGCCAGGTAAGTTGCTCTACCACTGAGCCACATTCCCAGCCCTGAGATTATATATTTTTAATAAGCTGTCAAATCATGCCAGTGTTCAAAAATTAGTATCAAGGCCCCAAACCACAGTGCTTATTTTCTCCCCATTCTCTGTTTACTTCTTCCATACTTTCTCATCTTGTCTGATATTGGGTGTGGTCCCATTTAACTAGTCACTTAATCACATCAGTGACGGGCTGGATCCCCAGTACCAGGCAAAAAAAAGACTGAATGTTTCCAGGTTATTAAATGAAAAGCAAGGTATAAAATAGTGTGCTTCTATTATTAAAATTAAATGATGGGGGATATTTATATACTTATTTATACATTTGTAAATGTTTGGGTATACACACGATCGATACCCAAGCAGTTACACTCATTGGTGCCACTGTGTGGGGGGAAAGGAGGATTTAGGGTTGACAGTAAAGACTTACTTTTTACTATGAAGTCATCCCTTGTTATCCATAGTGAACTGGTTTGAGGACCCCAGAGGATACTGAAATCCAAGGATGCTCACGTTATTATATTAAATATTTGTGACTGTATTGTTTAGGAAATAATAAGAATAAAAAAAAAAAAGATCTGTTCATGTTCAGTACAGACAAAATTTTTTTTAAAAAAATGTATTTTCAATCCATGGTTGATTGTATCCACAGATGCAGAACCCATAGAAAAGCCATCTGTAGCCTTTGTATTTTGATTTTTTAAAAATCAAATATAAACATTTTTTTAAAATATTTTATTTTTTAGTTGCAGTAGGACACAACATCTTTATTTTATTTATTTTTATGTGGTATTGAGGATCGAACCCAGGGCCTCGCACATGCTAGGCGAGTGCTCTACCGCTGAGCACAACCCCAGCCCCAAATATATTTTTAAAAGTGCAAAATAGAAAGCTCTTTAAAATGCACAGTCATGGGCTGGGATCATGGCTCAGTGATAGAGTGCTTGCCTCATATCTGTGAGGCACTGGGTTCGATTCTTAGCATCACATATAAATAAATGAATAAAATAAAGGTACATCAACACTAAAAAAAAAAAAAAGAAAAAGAAAATGCGTGGTCACATTTAGGACCATCCATTCCTTTAGTTAATTTCAACTATGTCCTTGCTTCTGATGTGTGTAAGATATACTACTCAACTTTAAAATCTCTGGTGTTTTCTTAATTCCTTATATGAAATTCCAAGCCATAGCCCAATGTCTCTTTTCCATTGCTTTTCCCAGATTTCCTATATCATCACGGTAGAGAAATGTTTGCAGGGACACCCACACATCTGCTCATTCCAGTCTTTGGGACTGTATCCAAATGTTCTCCCCCTCTTGTGTACCTCATGGTCTTAAATCATCTTCTAAAGTCTTCTTCCAAAGGTCTCAGACAATAAAATTGTCTGCACCACTTCCAGCCCCTATTCTGGTGTGATGAGTAGGGGAACCAACTTTTGAAGCATTTGCAATCATGGGGTGAGATAGCCTGCTCCTCTAGGCTATCCTATTGGCTACAAATAGGTGAGAGGCATTTCCTTATTTTGCATGTGGTTGGACTATAATTATTTTATGTCTAAGAATACTCTGTAGTAAGAAGAGTGGCAAGACCTCCATCTGGCTCCAGGGTCTGTCCTGCACTGTGCATGCGTAACACCCTACAAGTCTTAGTTTCAGGCACGATTCTGTCACTACTGGCCCATCTCTCCCAGTTGCCCAATCCAACTGCACACACTCAAACACAAATCCCCGGAAGCCGCCTCTCCCCAGTCAGGTCGCCAGCCAAGCAGAGAGGAGGCAAATGCAGTGAGTTCAGAACGGTGGCCCTCCCCACCGGGGTCTGGGAAAGAGAGCGGGAACTTGGCATGGAGTTGGGAAGGATTCCTTAAGCTTCTTGAGAGATGGTAATGGGAGGTAAGAACTGCAGGAGGTCGGTCAACATTACGTTTAAAGCCTGTTTTGGTGGTGTGATGCCACGCCCTATCCAGAACCACACTGGACAAGCAGACAGCCAACCACTAGAATCCCGGAGCTCAGATCCCTTGCCCGTCACTCACCCCGGAGTTACACCCCACGTCGAGCCCCAGGATCGGCCTTGCCTCGGAACGCTCGGGAGGGAAGAGCCTTCGAAGCAGCTCCGGGGGCAGGAGGCGAAGCCGTTGCTCTGGAGGGTGAAAGCGGGAATAATGAGGGAAATTTCCGAACGGAGCGGCCCCGGGTTCCAGAACCCGTGGCTCCTCTTCTGCTGCATTCTCCCCAATACCCTCTCCCATCAGTTTCGCGGGCGCCGCCATTATACTAAGCCCCGCCTCGGATCCGGCGGAACCGGAAATCGGTATCCTACAGCCACAGAGGACGGTAGCGGCGCTGGCGTTCGTGCGCAAAATGACGTAAAAAGACCGGAGGCAATCTTTTGGCTGGTGAAGAGGCTGCGTTTTCTTCGGAGTACTCTCAGTGTGCTTGGCGATGTGCTGACTCCTGGGACTTGTATTGTTTTATTAAACCCTGGCCACAGCCCTAGGAGGGGTTTAGTAATGTCATCCACGGTTTACAGGGAGGAAACAGTGCAGAACTGTTAAGTAGTTTGCCCAAGACCAGTTTGAAATGGGCGACTTGACCAGAGCAAGGTCGTTGTTAGGGTTTTGGAACTCAGTCGTGGCCTAATTCCTTTTCTTTACGAATGCATAAAGTGAGACCCAGAGAAAAGTAATTATTTGGGTTCGCACATGACACACACGGTTAGGGAAAGGGTAGCTGGGAGGGCTGGGGATGTGGCTCAAGTGGTAGTGCGCTCGCCTAGCATGCGTGAGGCAACTGGGTTCGATTCTCAGCACCATAAAGATATTGTGTCCACCTAAAACTAAAAAATAAATATTAAAAAAAAGAATCTGTTCTTGGAAGTGGGCTGGGGATATAGCTCAGTAGTAGAGTGCTTCTTGCCTGGCATGCAGAAGGACCTGAGTTCAATACCCATTACTAAGAAAAAAAGAAAGATTGCCTGGAGCTACAGGTTACTTGGTACCAGAAGTCTCAAATGGCTCTGCTTGCCAGGACCAACAAGTGGACAAGGCAACTGTAGACAGTGCACTCCTTTAGAGACAAGTACCATGCCCCAAGATCCCGAACTTACCTTCTAAGCTCTTTACATATATTAATCTTCACAGAAACCTGGTAAGGAAAGGTCCATAATTATGATTCTTTTTTTTTTTTTTTTTTTTTTTGTAGTTGAGTTCATTAGTGCACAACGAAGTAGTGTTAGAAATACCGAAGTGCTGCAAGAAATCAAACACATGCTCATATGTGGGTCTGTTGCCGGAAGCTCTGTCCTTGTCCCCATGTCAATCTAATAATGAGGACACAGTTTTTCAGAAAAAGGAAAAAGGTCTACTGCTTTGCTAGCAAAGGAGAAATGGGGGCTGGGGCTATAGCTCAGTGGTAGAGTGCTTGCCTAGAATGTGTGAGGCCCTGGGTTGTGTTGGCATAATTACAGTCATCTTCCTTTCCCCACCCCTACTTTATGAATAAACTGTTCTTATTCTTAAGAAATAGAAGCTATCCAGAGACTTACTGGTCTGGAGAGGTGCTGGTCTCTCTCTGTTCCCTCTTTGAGAGATAGGAGAACTGCCTGTCTCTGTTCCCAAGAAACAAACTTGCCTTCCACAAAATCAGGTGATGCTTGCTATGCCAGTCACCAGGACTAAACCCACCCCTATTGCGTGGCCACGAGTCTAATCTACAAAAAGAAACATTCAAGGGGGAGTTGCTGCTGCGCTGGTACACGCTTGTGTGCTCTAGCTCACTTTCTCTCTCTCTCTCTCTCTCTCTCTCTCTCTCTCTCTCTCTCTCTCTCTCTCTCTCCAGAGCAGCCTGTCAGGCTTCTGACAATAAACCTGCTTCTTATCCCACATGTGTGAGTGATCAGTCCTACATCACTTTTCTTTCATCTGTGCCATAAAATAGGTTCTTCTCCTGTCTAGAGATAAGTTTGGGCTCTGCACCAGGACTCTCTGGAGATGGCATTTAGCTTGGGGCCAGTGAATCGTGTGGTGATGACCCCTTTCACTGCTGTCCCCTCTCACTCTGGTTTAGTCTAGAGCCAGGAATGCCTGACTGTAGTCACCCCAGCACTCCAACTCCTCCCAATCCAAAATCCCATCTGACTCATTTCTTGCCCACTTAGTTCCCTTCCATTTGGCTCCAGATCTAAAAGCCCATCAGCTAATTCAAATTTCCACTCAGCAATGGCCCTTCTATGACTTGGACAACGAATCCTAATGGCACCTTTGATCCCAGTATTTTAGGGATCTTTACAATTTTTGACAGCACTCATGTGAGGGCTATCTCCTTTCTCTGCTCTAAGCCTTCCCTTTGCCCCTCTTGCTCTTCTGCCCAGCTTTTACTTGCCATTAAGGCTCTGGATTCCTTCAGAGAGCCTACTTCTAGACAAACAAGGGACCATAACCCTTCTCCCTTCTTCTATTGGCCTGCTATATTGTAAAGCCCATCAGACAGATAATTCCATTGTTATAGCAGGCAACAGCATGACAGACCAAATGCAGGTGGCTCTATTTTTCCTCCCCAACAAAGAATCCAACACCATTCTCCTTTCTACACTCCCAAACACTGCCCAAAACACATCTACACACCTCTGACACTACCCAAGATACCTATCACATCCTCACCCATCTACACCACTTACTTCACCCTAACCTCCTGTCTTCTCTAAGGAACTTTTTCAAACAATCTCTAACCCTCACCCAGACCATATCAAATTCCTCCAGGACCTCTCCTCTTCCTGCAAGATATATATATATATATATATTATCCTTTCTCTAACATTCGCCCTCTCTCCTTTCCAACTCACCAGGCAAGAGGACATTTACCAGCCAGTAATTGGCAAATTGACTTCACATCCCCACTGTAAAACATTTCAAGTATCTCCTAGTCCTGGTTGACACATTCTCTGGAGTGGTTGAGGCCTTTCCCACCACTCGCAAAAAAGAGCACAAACCATTTCTAGTGTTCTCCTTAAAGATCTCATTCCTCGCTTTAGCCTCCCTCCTTCCGTCTGATAATGGGCTCCACCCAACAACTTCAACAGCTTCCCTCGCTCTCCTAATGGTACCACTCTTCCTCATCTCTACTAATAATGTTTCATAATTTTATACATTCAAACCTGGCCTAATTACCAATTGGAAAAATAGGGTTAAAAAGCCCTACGCAGGGGCTGGGGTTGTGGCTCAGTGGTAGAGCACTTGCCTAGGACGTGTGGGGCCCTGGGTTCAATCCTCAGCACCACATAAAAATAAATAAATAAAATAAAGGCATTATGTCCAACTACCACTAAAAAATAAAATATTAAAAAAAAAATCCCTAGGCAGCAATCTCCCTAGCCAAGGCCACACTGAAGCTAACATTGAAATACAAACGGCATACTTAGCAGGTTTGACAAGAGGCCTAAGACTAAAGGGGAAAAAAGTGTCAATTTAACTTTTACCTTGGCTGCAACACAGAAGAATGACTTCAAAACTCTCTCTCTCTCTCTCCCCTTCTTCCTTTCACTCTCTCTCTTTCATATTCTCTCATATCACCTTAATGAAATAATTAATAATATTTTTCCTAGGACTCTTATTTTTTTATATATTTTTTTAATATTTTATTTACATTTTAGTTTTCGGCAGACACAACATCTTTGTTTGTATGTGGTGCTGAGGATTGAACCCGGACCGCAGCATGCCAGGGGAGCGCGCTACCTCTTGAGCCACATCCCCAGCCCCATAGGACTCTTATTTTTAAAATTCTGTATTTTTGAGCTCATACTTTTGTTCCTGTGCACCAAAATTATAATTTCTGACATTCTGCTTTGCTCAGAGACTAATTTACAAAAGTTGGCTCTTAATCTAATAAGGTTTTTTTTTTTTTTTTTTGTGGTTCTGGGGATAGAACCCAGAGCCTTGTGCATGCAAGGCAAGCACTCTACCAGTTGAGCTGTATCCCAGCTCAATAAGTTTTAAAAGTTATAAGACCTTTACTCATTTGTTCTGTGTACTGTCTTGTCTACATGTGTGTGTATATCAAAACCAACATATAGAGTGCTCATAAACTAAAATTCAAGAATAGATCCAAATACCTTTGATTCACATGATTTAAAGTTCAATTTAAATTGGATAAAACAAGGTAATGATATCTTCAAAATCAGTAACACTTTTTTCCAGATGATCAAACAATAGAAAATCTCATTTTCTATTAAATATTTTAAATATAATGTCCCTTACTTCTAATGTCCATTACTTCTTTATCCTTCAACAGAAAAGGATGACTTAAAATGTTAACTAAATTTGCTTTTCATGTGTAACCTAAATTAAAAATGGGTGAATCAGATTTAACGTAAATGTGATAAACATTATAAATGTGATTTTCAAAATTTGCTGCTCAATGGAAAGTTTAAGATTGCTTTATTTCTGATCTCTGCTAAAAGCAAGATAAGTAAAGGTTTTAACCCAGGTTTTAGGCCCCTCAAAGTCAACAGTCTTGCACTCCTGATTCTGGGAATCATACCAGCAATGAGGGGGAAGAAGCCTCTGAGCTAGCTGCAGTGGCTTCCACTCCTCCACCTGCCCTACATCCTTCACTATCTAAGCTAAGAAAGAAATTTGTATGTACAATTTTTTCTATTCTAAATGTTCTCGCCCTGTCAGCCCTCTCTCATCACCCAATCTCACATAGCCATTTGAGAGCTCACCCCTTTACTCCCTGTCTGTGAAGTCACTGGGTCTGAGGGGGTAGTCAGAGTCCCTGGTCCATTCTCTTTTGGTGATCTCTTCCAAATCGAAAGATGCCTAGGGTCCTTTACCTCCAAACCTGCCACATACACCAAGGTGTTCCAATACATAACACAGGCCTACAACCTTACCTTTCATGAAATACACATGAGACTATCCAACACCCTCCTCCCAGAGGAGCATGGATGAGTCTGGGAACAAGCCCAAAATTGTACCAATAAAGTCCACCAGTTGAGACTACAATTCCTCTGGAGGCCAAACAAGAAGGGACCAATTCATCACCTGTTTACTGACAGGTTTAAAAAGGGCAGCTCATAATGCCATCAATTATGATAAGAGGTCAGTCAGGATGAAAATGAAAACCCCTTTTCCTTTTTAAACCGCCTGACTCAGGCCCTACTTCAATACACCAATTTAGATCCTGAGTCACCTGATGGTCAAAATTTACTCATGACCTACTTCTTCTCCCAAAGCTTCCCTGACATTAAAGCTAAACTTAAAAAGTTGGAGCGAGGTCCCCTCACCCCACAGGC